GACCCCGGTCCCCAGATCTCGAGAAGCGAACCCTCGGACCCCGACGCCCACGCTTCCTCAGGGGTCGAGCCCGCTCCAGCGCTCACGGCCTCTTGGGAACCCGTCCCAGTGTCCCCCGAGTCCGCGCCTATGGACGCCCAAGTCGCATTGGCCCGGTCGTTTGTTATGGTAGCGATGGCTGGGAAAACTCTCGACGCGGAGCCCGCAGTCTATTATCACCAAGGTTCCGACTTCGTGCTCTTAGACATGCCCAAGAACCAACTGGCGTATCTCCCCGACCTCAGCGACCTCCGGTCCGAGGCCAACATCGAAGATGCGATAGTCGGCGAGCCCGGGTGCCGACGAGGAGGAGCGGCTCCGGACCGTCCTCCGGAAGCATCGTATGATTTTCTTAGGAGAAGGGAATGCACTTCCTCCCCCCGCCCGGGGAGTCGTGTGCGACTTGGACGTCGGGGACGAAAAACCCATCTCTAGGCGGTCCCGGAGGATCCCTGCTGACTTATTGTCCAAGGTGTACGAGTTGCTCAGGCGTCTCTTGGAAACCGGTTTGATAGAGTATTCGGGCTCGGAGTGGGCGTCGGTCATCGTCTTCGTGATGAAGAAGAACGGTACCGATGTCCGCTTGTGTATCGACTACCGATTGGTGAACTAGCTCATCAAGTTGATGAACTACCCCCTACCCCTAATCGACGAGCTCATGAGCAATTTTGCCGCCATCATGTGGTTCATGACCTTGGACATGGCGAGTGGATTCTGGGCAGTCCCGATGACAGCCCGAGCCCAGCTGATCTCGGCGTTCATTTGCCCGCTCGGACACTTCCAGTGGAGGCGCATGCCGTTCGGACTCAAGAACGCCCCGTTGATTTACCAACAACTCTTGGACAACTGTCTCTGGGGTTTCGTCCGGCTACCCCCGGACGAGGAACGACTCGTTGACCCGAAGGTGTTAGAGTTCTTGGGAATTTCTCCCGAGGACTCGGACGCCCCGGTATCCCAGGGCACGGAACCTCGGGGGGGGCGGTGGTCTCCAGGACCAGCCCTGACACCGTGTTCCACCAGAACCGGGTGGCCCCGGAACAGATGGGGCCTGTGCTGTCCCGGAGTTCGTACATTGATGACATCATCTACGGAGCTCCGTCCTGGGATGACCTGTGCAA